AAAAAAAAAAAAAAAAAAAAAAAAAAAGATAAAGGATAGTATTTGGTAAAATTATTAATTATTTGTAGAGAAATTCCTAGAAAACTTAAAAGATCTTTATAAACATGTTAAAAGACTTAGCAGTGATCTATAAAGCACACCATGTTTCCTGGGGACATGTTAAAAGTGACTCCATTACAACCACTAAAAAGACAAGAATCACTACTGCCCCTTTTATGAATGAAAGATGAGCCACTGGGGTAGGGAAGGAAAGGAAATGTCTCTATTTGCTATGATAATATTATTTGTTTAGAAAATGGAAGAGAATTGCTCTAGTTTGTGTTCTGTTGCCTTGATAAAACACTGAACAAGACCAACTTGGGGAGGAGAAGGTTTATTTACTTTAGCGGTTACAGGCCACCATACAAGGAAGGCAGGCAGGACAGGGCAGGAACTTGGAAACAGGAAATGAAGTGGAGACCATAGAGGAACACTGCTTATCTGCTTGTTCAGCTGCCTTGCTTACACAGCCCAGGTTCACTTGCCTAGGGATGGCACCACCCACAGTGGAGTGGCCCCAACCTCCATCAATCAGCAACCAAGAAAATGTCCACAATGTGCCTTCAGGTCAGTCTAATGGAGGCAATTCTTCCATTGAGAGTGCCTCTTCCCAGGTATATCAAATTGACAGCCAAGATTAGCCACCACAAGATCTTCAAACTTATTGAAGCTGAGAAAAAGACCTTAGCAAAATTCAATGCACAAGAATCTAGAGCACCTGTAACCAACCATCTCTAATTTTTAAAATGGGAACTTATGCTGTTTGTAATTACAACAAAAAGAATATATTATCCTGAATTAATGTAGTTAAATGCATAAAAAGTTCCCAAACCTAATTTATGGCCATCAAACACCCAAATAAAGCTGAGCACTTCAGTTCCAGCACTTGGGAGGCAGAGGCAGGTAATCTTTGTGAATTCAAGACCAATCTGGTCTACATAGTGAGTCCCAGGCCAGCTAAGGGTACACAGTAAGACCTTGTCTCAAAAACAACGCAGAAACCAATAAACACACAAAAAACAACAAATGGTAATGCATGCCATTTTTACAAATGACAACTCTCAAAGTTGTAATGATAGAAAAGTAGTCTACACATTAACTTTGCCAACTAAATTCCCAGAGGATACAGTTTGTAAAACATAACAAAATAATAGCGAACCTGAAAAGCAGCTCTCAGAATAGGTAATATAATAGTCATAGAGCAGTTTGGGTTTGAGCAAGTGCTACCTGCATAAAAATAAATGAAAAAATTAACATAATAAAGTAGGAAACCTAGAAGCAAACCCAAGGACATACACAAAAATAGTCATAGATGCATTGAAATTAGATGAAAAATGACTGCTCGGTGAATGGTAAGGTCACAATTACACAGAAACAATAAATTTGGTTTCAAACTTCTTACCCCAGACTGCAATAAACTGGGTGAACTGGAAACGATGATGAGAAATTATAGGTGAATATTTTTAATAGGATATGAAACATAAAAACATAAAAATGTGGTGATATATTGTATACCCTAATAATTTTACCTGAGGATCCAAGAACAGAACGAGCTACTAGATTAAACACAGAGGCCAGGCAGTGGTGGCACACACCTTTAAGCCTAGCACTCGGGAGGCAGAGATCTGTCTGGATCTCTGTG